CATGTTGATTAACCAAAAGAACGGAAATGATTAACTTTAGTTCATGATAGGCTGTTTATTCAATATTTGGCTATATGAATTTTCCGCTTCAGTTGGCTAATTCTTTCATAAAATTTGCCTCTCATAATAGCCGCCCCAAAGCTTTCTTAATTTTCGCTTCTATCAATAAATTTGGGTGCAATATCTGATTTAAATCTCAAATCTAATTTTATTTGAATATGCTTGATTTTATTTTGAAAAATTTCAACTATATATGATTTCTAGTACATATGAAAAGGAATTGTTATTGATAAATTGAAAATTCAATAACTTAGTTATTAGAATTGCTTGGTGTAAGCAATTTTTTTTTTTCAAAAATATAAAATATAAGCAAGTAGTGAACTGAAATATGGATGTTTTATACAAAATCAAGATGTATACTGATTTGAGTCTTCATTCAAGCCAAATAATTGAGTCAAGAAAGATTGATCGTCCCATGTTGACATCTGATAACTTGTTCCCTTAAAATTGAAAACATTTAAATAGTACACTGTCCCCTAAATTGTTTTTCGATCCAAAATAATCTCTTTTATCTTTCGCTTTTTCAATTTCAAAAACTTTCAAAAAAATCCTTTCTTAAAAGATAAAAAGAACCATTTAATAGTTTTTTTCGAAAAAAAAAATTCTTTTTAATGTTTTATTATAAATCAAAGTAAACGACTGAGCAAATCCTATTATAAGACAAGAATAAAACTTAGCCTAAATGATTCAAGGAGTTTAAAGAAGGCCTAATTATATAGTCATATTTTCTGAAAATTGCATGCATATAATATCTTTGTAAAAATTAATAAATTCTAAAACTTAAAAAAATATACAAAAACTGGTATACATTTAAATTACTAAATGTAAACCAGGAATAATTGAAATCTTAAAGTAATTAAAATACTTGAAAATATAAAAAAGCAACAAAAAATATATGGAAAAAATTTAGAGATATTCTTATTCATTAAGATTAATATTATTCCCTAATTAAAGTAATTTAATTAGAGAACAAGACAATTTAAGCAGTAAGGCTGATTTGACACTTTGAACTTTGGCTGTTGAGATTTCAATTGATCAGTGATAAAACAAATACAATTTGCTTGTTATTTTTTTCTTCTTTTTTGTATTAAAATGTTACTTAAAGTACCGCTAAATTGTAAATAATCAAAGGTTTAACCATAATTTTGTGAACAAATAATTTTATCATATTTTTTTAACACTAACTATTATGAAGATAGACCCGATTGTAATACTTTTCTTAGGTAAACCAGTAATTTTAGAGTAAAAAATTGAAATTTTAGGTCGGAATAAAGAAATCAAAATAAAAAAAAGTAAAAGCATTGCAACTGAGGAAGAAAAAGACTTGAATGATGAAATTTGTAAAAATAAAATTTTATAAAATTTCAGTTATTGCACGCGAAGATGGCAGAGAAAGTGAGGTGCCGTTGAATATTTACATCAAAGATGTAAATGATAACATTCCCGTATTTACACAACCCATTTATAGTGCTACAATTAAAGAAGACATATCACCTGAACATATTATCTTAACAGGTAAATTTAATTAATGGTGGACCGATAAATGATATTTGATTAAATATCACCTGAAAATGCCAGGTAAAGTGCTAAAATCTGATTCTTTTTTCAATAGAATTTTGGCTTTGATTTTGAGGAAACACTCAAATGCTAACCATATTAGTGTGCTAAGTAAAATTTAACTAAAGTAAGAGTAATTAATAGTATTGGATCAAATGTTTTTTTGAAGATATTATGACGGAGTATTTTTCTTTCTAAAATT